CTGCAGGCAGGCAGTTAGCCAGGCACAGCCGGGCAGCCAGCATGGCTGCTCTGGCCTTGGAGAAGGAGCGATGCCAGCCAGCTAGCCAGTGTCACAGAAGGGTGGAGAGAGGTGCTTGCCAGGACTGGTGCTGGAGAGGACCACCCCCAGCCACCCACCCCCCCTTCGCACCTCCATGTCAGGAGTTGCCCTGGTGCTGAGGAACAGCCATGCGTGCCTCAAGAAAGCACTGACTGTCAGTTTTCCAAGCCTGCGTTTACAGCTTTGGGGGAGTTTGACAAACCACCTCCTTCCTCTCCTGAGGCAGCTGGTATTCCCCCCCCCCCTCTTGAAAGTCAGAAACCCCAAATACTGCACCTGTTCTTGTGAGGTTTGCGTCTTCTCCTCAGTGACCCAATGAAATCCAGCAGATGTGCACTGGTCTGTGGCCTCAGTGGCAATTAAAAGATTGTTCACATACTGCAGTAAAAACACCATTAGAGTCTCTAGTCCATTCAAACAAGTCCTTAGCCAGTGCTTGAGAGAAAGATGGGTGAATTCCCTCCTCCCCTGAGAGAGGATGGTTCAACACAGCTGGCTCTTTGTCCCATCCTGGCATTCTCATTTGAAGGCAAAAAGAATTGGTTCCCTAGGAAGCACTCCATGGGCCCCACAACTGGGCAGGTGGCCTGATGCCCTGTGCCCGCATCGTCAAGTATCCCTGCTGTGTCCCCCCCACCAATTGGGACAGTCACAACTGAGCAGACTGCCCTAGTGTCCACCAAGAAATCCATGTTCTCATCTTCCACCCTCATTCTCTCTTGGGGTTGTGGGGTGACATGGAACTCTTCCCGTGAGTTCCCTATTCTTCCCTCAGAGCCTCCAAAGCGGCCACAACAGTTGAGGCTTTTTTTCTGTGGGCAGTCCCTTTTCTGTTGTTGCTCTGATTTGCACATCACACAATTATTCCTTCCTCACCTATGAAACTCCAGTCTTGGCTGGCGGCGCTGGGACCTTCCATCACTACCTGCCTTTCCCCGTTCGTGCTGCAGTGCTGCCTTCATTGCCACTGCCATCAGATCCATTTGCAGGCTGTCTTTCGGTTCATTTGCTTTTTAACTATGCATCTTCTTAGCTGTTTCCAAGAACTGCACCTCACACCCCCCCAACATTCTCAGGGAGTTGTACACAATGCTTAGGCACCCAAGTGCTTGGGGAACAAAACTTGATTGAACAAAACAAACAGAAAGAAGTGGAGGGATTTTAAAATAGCACATGCACAGACAACACACATACAAAGAGGAAGAGGAAAGCAGATAGCAGTGCTGATTACAAACTGAGAGTTTAAACACCAAATCCCAAGCCCTTTGACCACCCCAGACCTCAAGCAATGAGGCTGGCTGATCTATGGCTTTCTCAAGAGTAGCTAATTGAAGCACAGATGGACAGAGTCCTCATGACAAGCTGAACCATCTCTCTTGGAGCGAGGGAGCAACTTGCTAGCTCGAGAAACCCCTCCCCCCCCGGATCCTAAAGGTAGCCAGTTTGAAGGACTGGCTTGTGATTCCAAACTGTAGCCATTTGGCTAGGATTCAACCACCCATTCATGCCCTCCTGGCCATGAAAGCTATCACTGCACCCAGGCATGGTGGCAGAATCCCCAGAGCTGCCCCCCACCCAAAGCCCATACCCACCCTGCGCTGCCGGCTTTTGGAGGGGAGAGAGTGAGTTCTACTCTCCTTCTCTTCTCTGTCCTCCCCAGTGGGGACCAGTCTGCACTTTTCCAGCAAGTTCAGACTGTCAATGTAACAAATGCTTGCACAGAAGCTCAAGCTGTTAACCAGTATGTTGAAACTAAAGTTGCAACTGTTGGAGAGTCTGAAAATTGTTAGACCCTCCAGGTGGCCACTCTGCCTCACCGTCCCATTGATGCTGAAGCCAAATAGAATTACAGTAGACGTTTAGTTTCTTTCTTTAAGATGGAATCTCCTTTTGAACCTTTCCCAATGACCCAAAAGGCAACCCAGAGGCGTACGCATTTGTTTTGACTTACCCTGACCCAGAATGTGTTGAGCATTCACCAGAAGACCTTTAGAAGGATTTCAGCAGACCTCTCTGATTTTCCTTCTGTCAATTCTGCCAGGCGTCCCTGGTCAAAAGTGCTCACGCACTTATGCGGGATCCGCTCACTCCGGCCTCAAACCTGGGTAATATACCAAGAAGAGTTTTCCAAAACTCCCCTCTTCCACCCAAGGAGCTCCCCCTGATTCTACTCCATCTCGCCTATTCCCATAGAGTTCAACTCTACTTGGGAGTCACCAGCCGTGAAACAGGGAAGGACAGCTTCCTGGCTCTAACCAGCACCGCACTCTAAGCGGAGGTTGCTTCTTTCCCTCCCTTTTTTTTGGAACCATGTCTTCCCCCAAGCAGTTACCTTTTTTACCAGAGGCTTTTTCTTATCTGGGAACTCCTTGTCTTCTCAGGGTTAGCTCTCTCCGTCTTGTTTTCTTCTCAGCCACCCTTTCCTCAAGCCCTGCTCATGGCTGGTGGAGGTTTCCAGCCAAATTTGCCTCAACCCCAGTGCTGAGGGAGAGCTCTCTAATGCCGGTCGTCCACCCATCTGAAAAGAGGTTCTTTGAGGGAGAAGGCGTAAGAATTTTGAGGCAAAATTCGCCTTTAGTCCACTTGGTGCCCCACGTTGGGTGCCAAAACTGTTACCGGACTGTGCCAGTCAACAGCTGGGGCAAACCCCAGGTGGCCCCAAACTTGAAGCCAAACAGAGCCTGAGACGAGACTTAGAGCCAAAATCAGCTTTATTCTAGTGCACTATAGAATAAAGGGAGACAAAAAGGGACTTTCATCCCAAAGCAGCGTCTCAAAAGTTGCACCCCAGTACATGCGTTTTATACCCTAGGTAACCCATTAGGTCACCTAATACACATCTAATGCATCGATACATCAATGTATGGACCCCCTCCCGTGCTGGAGAAAGAGTCCCTTCTTCTGTCAAGGACCAGACATTTCCCATGTCTATTTCTTATCTGCTCAAGATTCACACAGGCTTGCCATGTTCTTACTCCCTGCACATTTGCAACTTTCATGGCGGCTAGGACCAGTTTCCACTTTGATTACTGTATTCGAGGTCAGGCTAGCATGTTAGCTGTGGGTTACACAAAGTTCATTTTGTTCTTATCCCCCTCCCTTCTGGGACAGTAGAACTGTGGTGTTTTTACTATGTGGTCTTCCTTTGGCCAACTACTTTTGGGGCCTTTCTCTGGCCAATTACTTTTGGGGTGTTTTGGGGTGCTGCAATTGGCAACTGTGACATAACCTTGTAACTTATTTTTGAAGCTGTGCACAGCAGAAATTGATAATCTAATAAGTAGCCCTTGCAGCTCACTTTCATTTTGTTTAACAGGGAGCATATGCTAAGTATTTTGAGAGAACAGTATCATAACAACACTGCTCAGCTACCTATATATTTTTATAAGAAGAATAGAGCTTGCACCTGATATTGGACACAACCATAGCCACCCTGTGCCACACATCCCTAATTTCTGCACTCTGGTTAGCGAAATTCTGGTGAAGAAATACTCTAGGCTCTTTGTTAAATGCAAATAGACTATATTTATCCGAATGAGTTCTCTAGTTCAGCAGAGTCTTCGAATTTATTTTTTGCTTTTGTTTTATCTTGCCTGCCAGAATCAGTGTGAGAGGTGGTGGCTTCAGATGCTAACAGTAGCATTTTTTTTTTCACCATGGCAACAGACATAGTGGCCCATGTGATTGTTTAACTGGCTTTCAGGGACACTGGAGATGTGATGGCAATGTCAGTGGCTGCTGCTTCCTGATTGGATAGCAAGCTGGTTAGGTTGGAAGGACCCCTTGGCTTACTGCATAGTTGTCATGGTACTTGTAATAATAAGCTTAAGTGCTGCCTCTGCCTCTTGTCCCTAGTCAGCTCACTGTGAACTCTTTCTACTATTTGTTTTTTCTTTCTTTCTCTCTTAAAGGTATGGATGTTGCTATACTGTATTAATTGTGTGAGGACACTGGCATGGAGGGCTTGACGCTCAAAAATCAGCACCATAAAGAAGCAGATTGTATGTTGACATTAGTTTATGGGCACTTCATTATAAGAGTAGCACTATCTTGATGGTCAGTCAAGCTTTTCTTTTCTGTACCCTTGACAGTGTTTTAATTAACACCGACTAGCAGTAGGAAATGTGCTACCTCATCTGCTGACACTTCATTTGTTTGGTGTGGCATGGCCAGAAGGAATGAGAATAGGGATTATATCACTCAGATGATGCTAACTTTGTTGTGTTCTGTCTGTTTCTTTCTTGCAACTTTCCATGTTATTAATTTTAATGAGATGAGGTAGCTAATGTCAGAGCAAGGCAAGTTTCTTACTGTAAAATATTGAGATACTGAAATTTTCAGTCTCTTCTGCCAGATAAACTTGTGCTGCCTTTACTGGCAGATAAGTTTTAAACAAGGACTTTCCAGTCATAGTCTCTTTATTACAATGTACCAGAATTTGAAAAATAAAATAAGAATAGTTTAAACAATGTGTATAAACTGTGGAAAATGCTTTTAACTTTAAAAGTAAGTTGAGGGAAATATATTTTAAAATACACTTTTTTGTTCACATATTTGGGTTTAGACTTTAGAGGCATCTGCTGAAACAATTGAAATTATTGTTCTGTATTTCTGCATGAATGGGTCTGCAGCTGTTCGAGGTTGATAGTACAACATAGTACAACATACTTGCTTTGGATTCTTTATAGCTTCACCTTCAAAACCCAATTACCAATATGAAGAAAACTCCACACCATAAAGTAGAGCTTTACAAGGAAGCTAAAGGAAGCTAGATTTGCTAGCAGTCCCTGGAACCATAGTAGGAGTGCTGGATTTTGGAGATTCAGTAATATTTTAATTTCAAAATGCACCTAGATGACTTCAAATGAGAGAAAGACTCACATGTGCCGCATTATGTAGCAGATCTGTTTTTCCTGCAGGATATCTTGAATAATCTTGATTCATGTGATCTTGAAGATGATGACCTTATGCTTGATGTCGACTTACCTGAAGATGTACCCTGTGATAATGGTTAGTTGAATAATGTGCATGTTTCTTAATTACTTATTTGAATTTCCCACTGGTATTTTGGTTGCCTCATTGCCTCTACATGTGCCATCCACCGCTGCCATTTGCTTTGGACTCAGGATGCCCCTAGGAGTACCCCCACTCCCACCACCAGGTCTCCTGCTCAATCTGTTGTTGCTACTGTATAGTTTTTCTGAAACATTTAATCAGAACAAGTATCTTTTACACTGCATTTTCTGAACACTGAATGTTGTTTAATGTCATGAGCTCCAGCTTTCTAAGTACTTCTAAGGTTTGATATGCTATGTAATGCATTTTATGTAATACAATAGATTTGTTAAAGTAGTCGTGTAAATGAGAACAGAGAAAACTGCTGCTTGAGTGCAAAATAATTTTCTATGAACATTTTCTGTTGTATTAGTGTTAAGTGGTAAAAACTATTAAACTGACAATAAATTCCAATTTCTTTTGAAGAGTAGCTTATAGTATTGCACTGAGCATTTAAATGGGTTTTTCAGGGCACAATCAATCAATAATCATACGTAGATTGGCTCAAGCAAATGCTAGAATAGTTCATACGCCTTTTTTTCTTGTTCCATTTTGGAGTCTGTGATGGAACTTGCAGACTATTTATAGCACTTATTCTAGTGCAACAAGTATGTACTCAGTGAACGGTAGTTTTAAATCACAGGGTCAAACTGGGCTCATTTCCCAACAATACGCAAGCAGGGAATGAGCAGGAAGGAAGGCCTGTTTACAATTTTGCATTGCAAAACTTTGCCTGAGTAGGCAGCGGTAGAATAATGGATCGCTCAGTTATGAAAAGCTTCTTGTAGTCAAGGCTGAAAAATGTGAAGAGAAAGCATTTGGGTAAGTAGAAAGCCTAAAGGGTTTCTTGAAACTTTTCTGTCTGGCTGCAATTTATATTTTGGCTTGGTTTTTCACAGTTTGTAAACAGTTGCCAGATACTGCTTTAACAAAGCAAGTTGTTGGTGTTCACAGATACTGAGATAGTGCTAAAATCTCTGTTTCATCTTCCATGGCGGAATGAATGTTTTAACACTTTTCTGTAATTAAAAAAAATATGTTTGATACTCTGAGTATTGAAAAAGAAAGCTTATTTCCTTAAATGTGCTGTTTGTGTCACCTTTAAACGTTTCTCCTACATCTTGGGATTCTGATAGCCAATCAGTTATTCCTCAGAGGAAAAATACTCTAACTTTTCTGAACATAGGCTGAGTGTTGATTACTTTTCATCTCATGTGACTGCAGATTTAACTTGCCTAAATAAGGTAGCTTCTTAACTATTGTGAGAGCAAATTAGTTTCATCATGCTTTGTATAAAATTTCTATTGCTTGAAATTTAATTCAGTTTATAGACAATTTAAAGTGCAGTCCTATAGATCAGAGATGGAAAAAAGCCTTCCTCCTCACAGTTATCTTTACTGGCTTTGTAATGCTATGAGTTGTAGATTTTGTAATGTCTAAATAGACATAAGAGAGCCCTGTTACTAAGTACATACACATTAAAAACATTTATATCTTTCATATTGCTCTTGAGCTGACTCACAGCAATAATTTAAATTTAATCACAAAATTAGAAATTAAAACTAAACACCAATAACTAATTCACTGCACATTAGTTCTTGTCCTTTTGTAGATCACTGTAAATCAATGAAGAATAACTGACAGCAGTTTTGGATTTCTGGGCAATAATTGGTTTCCCTGAATAATGTTGAAATATTTTTCTCTTAACTTTGCAGTGGATTGTGAAAATATGAACCGTTATGAGCGTCCAGACAGAAATATCAGACAGCAGAAAGAGGGGTTGTGGAAAAGAACCCCACAACGATGGAATGCCCAAGACCATTATCATCTTGGGCACACTGACCACTATCCCCACAGTAAAAATGATCTGAACAGGTAAGGTATTTGGAGAAGTAAAATGTTCAGGATGCTTCTCTTTAGTGAAAATTATGGATAATTATTCATAATATGCCATCATAGTGTTTTACAGATAAGCACAACAAATTAGCTTCTGCTCTGATGGCCAAATAATCTAAATAAGGAGAACTAATGGGAAGATATAAGAAGGAAGTAGCAAGAGTTGAGATGATGAGAATATTTCATGTAAACATCATAAACAAATATAATTATTAGTCTACTGCTCTGTTTTCCTACTGCCCATACATAATTCTAATGTGTTTAAAGTGCATTGGAGAACCAAAAACTCTGCTGCCATATTATTGAGAAATATATTCTGAATATTTTCATGCAGTTTAAATGAACTGATAAAAAAACGCAAGATCAGAGCACTGTCTCTGACCTCAGAGTTGAGAATCGAAAATGTTCTGGGGCCTACCTTCCTTAATTGATACTTTGCTCCTTACTTGTAAAAAGTATCCCTAACTTAGAAATATTTTTTTAATGTTAGTACCAAGTGCCCACCACTAGCAGTTACTTTATCTCTTAGAAAATATATTCTTGTTTTACTCCCATGGTAGAGGAAATACCTTCTAGGATGGCATCTTCTCTAATCTATGCATATGCTATTTAAAAATAGTATGCCTTTATGTCTCAAACTGTTTGAATCATAAGCATGATTAAACAACTCTGAATTTGGGTTGTAGCAATAGCAACATGGTTAATTATTACTTCTTAGTAGATTCCAAATTACCCTTCATCTGGGAACACTGGAGTAATAAGCAAGGCACAAAGAATTGTGCTAAAAACATAATAAGCCACAAAACATCATTATAAAGCTTATGAGAGCAGCTAAAAAGAAGAGAACAGCCTACAACTGTAAACCAACTCTAAAATGCCCGGGCATATTGAAAAGTTCTGACCTGTGGCCAGAATGTGTGAGTGACAGTGGTGCCCTTTGATTTCCTGAGGGGCACCAATACAGAAGGCTTTTTCCCCTTACCACAACATAACAAACTTCCCATGGCAAGGATGCATGGAGAAGAGCCTGCTCTGATTTTCTTTAGGCATTAAAGTAGATATGAAATTAATTGGGTCTCATACAGTGCAGACGTGATTCCTGTTAAAGTTTAATGTCGATTCACTTCCCAAAAATGTTTTGTAGGAGCTGCAACTATTTAGATGCCTCTCCTGTTGGTCACCTTGAAGGCTATGGAGCACCAGCCTTGTACCCGCCTCTGCGGAGTTTGCCAGCAAACACTGTGATGCTGGATGAAATGACGCTTCGGCATATGGTTCAAGACTGTACAGCTGTGAAAACACAGTTATTAAAAATGAAAAGGATACTTCATCAGGTTAGTAAGTTATAAACAGATGGGGACACTTAGTATTTTCTGTTTTATGACAAACGAGAACAATATCTGAATTAGCTGAAGCTGAGCTTGCTGAGATAGCAGCTTTCAATGGCAGGTTCAGAGATGTCTAGCGGAAGCAGAAAAAGGTATTTTCATTTCCATGGTATCCACCAGTTTGCTCCTTCATTTGCAACCTAGCATGTCATATCCTGCATTCTTTCTGAGGGCCCCCTGGAATTCAGAGTTGAATTTTCAAGGATGTTAGGAGTTGGAATGGAAAGGACAAGTCTGTTCTGCAACTGGAACAGTGCTTGGAGGAGCTAGGATTGAAGCCAGTTTTTATACAAAAATTATTTGCCAGTTAAAAAAAGAAGAAGCTTTTTTGGCTGGCATACAAAGGGGTTATCTGTGTCTGTAAACTATGTCTGTACAGTTTTTAATCCTTTTCCCTTTCAACAGCAGCCTCCACCCAAGCCTGGGCAACCCTCCTGTGCAAAATTTCTGCACACTTTAAATAATGGAGTAGTGCTAAAATCTATATTAATTTATGTAGATATCAACCACTTGTCTTCTGAATAACTAAGAAAAGAAAAGATATGAAGTAATAGTTAAGAGGTTCTGCTAAAGCAAGTTCATTGACAGCATAATTCAGACTTGTAAATGAATTTTAGTTGAAAGATGCCTGATTTATAACCCAGTAATTGTAAACTAGACTTACAGGAAATATCAAGGACAAAACTCTAACTTCTGAAAGCACTTTCAAAATATAATTAATAGTTACTTTTGTCCCTCTGAGTTCCATAAAAGTCCTTTAGGTGATGATTTGTATACCTCTAATCCTATAGACACAGACTGCTCTTCCTCCTGTCAATATGTCCCCCTCAGTGGGAGTTTGCTTCTAGTTAGAAAACCGCATAGTTGATTGCTTCATCTTGAGCATCTCCTCTTAATTACAGCTGTGGCTGCAACTACCACCTGTTTGTCAAGCCCATCCATCTCTCCATCCAGCCCCCCTCACCCCCTCTTTTGGAGAAGGGAGTGGATTAAAGCATCACACTCATAGGGATGTGTCATGTTGCTGCATATCGATTCTCTGCTGTGAATGATCATGCTCCATTACTGGCAAAGTACACTTAATTAAAATGAGCTTTCCTTTTCCCACATAATGGTACTGGCTTTGTAGAGGAATCTTGTCTATTAAAATGTCTTGTGATGTTTCCCACATAATGGTACTGGCTTTGTAGAGGAATTTTGTCTATTACAGATGTCTTGTGATGTCACTGATGATGTGGTCCATTTAAATAACAAAGCTCAGCATTCTTTGTTCTTAAAAGCAACTATGTAGCCTTTGTTGAAGGAGATTATGTTTCTTTCAACTACTCTGGGCAATATCCGAAGAATTCAATATAGGCCATATGGACGAAAAGTAAAATCGGTAAAACAGGTTTTTTTTTAATAGTACTAGGGATATTTCGAAAGGACAGTTTTGGAGATAAAATCCTATCTTATTTCATCCCTTTTATAAGCCTAATGATACACAATTATTGTATACCTTCATGTTCTTTAGTTGCCCCTGCTACAGAGTATTTCTGATCAAAAAATATAGAAAGTTTTTGCAGACCAGTTCAGACTGTGTGTCACAATATTCTGGTATTAACTTCTATGACTAGCAATAACTCTCCAGGACAAAGGTCCCCAGTGTGGCACCCGCAAGAAGTCCTCAACATGGTGCCTGCAGACACCCAATTTAAAAAAAAAAACATTTATACTGTTTTTATTTATTCCGTTTTATTAATACATGTACATGGGCTTGGAAGAAATGCATGCATCTTTCTAAAAACTAAAAAGCCTTCAATAAAAGTGCCCCAAATTTCCAGATAAGTATTTGTTTGAAGGTGGCATCCATATGCCATGCATTCAAATATTGACAGTGTTTTAAGGTCTTCAGCCTGTTGTGTTACATTACATTTAAAACATGAGGTAAAACTTTACCCTTCCAATATTGTAATAAATATTCCTTTAGGTTTCATAGGTGCAGAGGGCTAATTTCCTTGAAACAGGTACATAATTTAAAAGACCAGGTACATTAGTGAACATTAAAGATAGTTTCAGAGCAAAATTTATCTGTTTAATAACTTTCTCCAGCACCAAAAGAAGCAATTACTGGACATTGCCAGAACATATGTCTGGCAATGTCCAGTCTAAAAGAAGCACCAAAGCAATTAATTGAACTAGACAGTTTAGTGTTGTGCAGCAAATAGACATCAAACAAATCTTCTTACTGAATAAGATTCAGCCTAAGATCTATCAAAGCAACAGGTAGAGATGCCAAAATGTCAATCCATTGATTAGGCACTTTGTGGTAGCAAATTTCCAAATGTACCCACTGGTTGGGAACATGTGATGTAGGGTTTCAGGCAGAGATATTTCTTCTTACAGCTAGTTTAAACTATCATATTCCTATTGAATAAGCTGAAAGCTGAATGAAAAGCTGAAAGCCATTACCTGCAGGCCTTTTCTGTGTGTCACAACTAAACTAGAAACATTTCAGTTAACTATAGTTCTGTTTCACCTGTAACTGAAACTATCATTTACCAGCTTCAGAACAAGCCAGCATGTTAAACCAAATTCAAAACATGGCTTAACACCCTGGTGTGATCCAAAATGTGATCATTTCTCAGTTCAGATATATCAGGAAAAGATGGGTAATTGAAATTCTCCCAGTTTGCTTGCTGATGCTGCAAAAGGAGGAGTGGAAGGGCTATGTTGTGTGCAATAAGACTTGTTCATGTTGACTTTTTAAGCTGTGAGAGGATTGTCTGAATGCAGCCAATTTCTATCACTGAGCTACAATCTATCCCCATATAATGCTATTTTCATTACCTTTCAAGTTACATATGCATATCCAGCTCGTTATGTTAAATACCTGTCACTGCAGGTAAATTTTTGTCACAGTACAGGTCTTTCCGTGTAAACATTCTTAGGCAGGGAAGAAATGGAAGAAAATGTCATGTCATTTCTGAGAAAGCTGGGATTCCTTTATGCTTCGTTTTGGTTATGGCGGTGTTAGTGGCTATAATTCCAGAAGAGTTAAGTATTACGAGCCTGATCCAAATCTCCACCATACAGCTGCTGTGGCTGCATGTACGTTTCCTGGTTTAGGGAGCACTGCATAGGGCCATCTGCAAGTTGATGGGAAAGGAAGAGGGAAAAATCAGCCTTACTCCTCAGCTCAAAGAGTAAATTAGTAAATTAATTGCTAAGAGGGCGTGATGCATGCATACCAGCTTGCCATGCTAGAGGGGAGCTGCTTATGAGCAATTGCTAGTGTGCACAGTACTCCATCCAGCTAAGAATGGACCCTGGCTGGAATGGGACATAAAACCAGACTTGTTTATTTCCGTACCCTTATTTATATGGCCCTCTCACCAACATAATTTTTGGAATGGCTTACAAAACTGACAATAGAATAAAATATTGAAATACAATATAGTGATTAAAATACAGCAAAACAGTAAAATGCAATTTAAAACACTTCTTTTTATCAACAGAAGCATGCAAACAATTAGCTGCTCAAATCTTAAATAACCTTTTAAAAGCAAGATTGTTTGAAAAAGCTAGATAAATAAAAAGGCCTTCACCTGGCACCACAAGGGTGTTAACAAAGACAACAGCCATATCACGGTAGGGAGGGTTTTCCATAGCAGGTGTGCCATGTAGTGTGCAGTCATATAGGACAGATGCCCTTAGGGAAGCTCTTTTCTTTGAGCCACCTTTCCCTAGGCATTGCCCACAAAAGCTCAGCAAGGTGGGGTGAACCCCAGAGGCTTTCTTCTTTAGCTTTTCTCTCCTTTGGTAGGACCGAAAGGCATGGGACTCTGAGCCTGTCTAACATAGCAGAGACAGGACCTAAATGCTAGTAGATACAAAAACTTTTGCTTCCTTGCCCACTTCCTCCTTGCATTTCCTCCTTGCTTACAAAGCCCTCTCCCCCATTTGCTTCCCTCCCCAAGTTACCGTGGAAGTGTCTGTTCTGGCTGGAAGATTGCTTGGGAACAGGGAGTCAAAGAGGGACATGGGGGACTTGTCTCTTTGAAGGTTGGATCTCTGTCTCTTGAGGATATCAGAGGAGGATATCTAAAACATCCTGTACTAGAGATAATGGCATGCTTCTGCACTCTGTACTGGCAAGTTAATTTCTTTGCTTTTGCCACTTGTGAAGTAAGAAAAAATAAAAATAGAAAAGATAAATTTTGAAATATATAAAATAATGTGCATTGTTTGAATAAAAATAAACTTGTACACATGGAATATTGAAAACTAGCTGCATATTTGGATAGTCACAAATTTTCAATGAAAACACTGAAAATGTTTGGGTATATATGTGCACAGTATGCAAAGAAAGTATCATTTTCTAATGCCATTGATTGTCTTGTATTAAATGTTGATAACCGAGGACACAGTCTGGGGAATTTCCATCACTGTCCAAATTCAGAGAATTACAGGCATTCTGTGCAGGATGGAAGGAGCACAGTGGAGAAGGTTGCTTGTCCTGTCTTGATTTCAACTTTCTAAGTGTTTTGCACCTGCTCATGAGGAGGGCAGGTTCAGACAACATTGGAATGTATTGTGTCCCAGGAGAGCCTCACCTCTCTTACCTGGAACCCCCACCCCCAGTCCTATCTCTGAGGTTGGTCTTCTAAACTGTGTCTGTAATATACTTCAGACTGTAACTGGGATGGGGAAGTTTCATGATTAAAAACAAGACAAAGCCTAAGGACCAGTAGAATGGTTAGTCATACTTTAGTTCAAAAAAATTAAGATTTAACTGCTCAGCAAATATGGGAAACTTTTCTTTTGCAGAACGATGAAAATGTGTCACTCCACAACATTGCTCTCTCATTGCCTTCAAGCCCAGAACTTCAGGAGCCTGAACCAATATATAAGGTAAACTGACTGTGCTTGTTGCAGAACAAGGCCTGAAATGAATATTTTGCTGTAGCATGTGCTTTAATGCTGAAGATATCATATTTAGCTAGTTTTGATTATAATAAAGGTACCTTACATTTGCAGGAATACAGAATCTGGTGTATTTTCCAAAGTGTTAATTTTTGTACTCTTTATCCATAAGCATTCTAAATGTAACTGTTCAATGAACATGGAATTTGGTTTGGTTACATAATTTGGATCTTTGGTATTTTGCTTTATATATAAAATAAGTGTCCAAAATCAGTGTAAAATGGAGTGCCTAAAAGAATTGTAAAGTATTCTATCTGAAGACATACAATTTAAATCAAACAGTAAAGTGGAAGAACAAAAGAAAAATTAGATAATAGAATAATTATATGGTAACAGGAACAGGAGGATGTTAACATTGATGGACTTAAGGGATATTTTAAAAGCTGTAATGATCTGCTAAAGATGATCTCAGTAAGTAATGTGCTTCAGGTACAAGGATGCAAAAGAGTTAAAAGTGGAAGTGCTCATTATGACAACTGAAAATAACTATCTGAGATATAGGGTAAAGAAGTGAAATTACACTAATCCAAATGACATTTTATTAAAAACAATGACATAAAAGAGCCTAATCCACATAGGGCAGATTCTAGAAAGAGTATGCTAGGTTACCTCAGTAACGCTTTGGTTAGTGGGAGCAGACCAGCTTCAAACTGTGGGTTATAAAGCTGGCTTCTTTTCATTAACTATAGTTAAGATCAAGAGTTAAGAACTATAACATTTTAGAGTTCCAATGTAATGCCAAACTGTGTTTAATCTAAAATGGCAGTAAATCCTCTCCATTTTCCTCTTATTCATGTCAAATGGGTACTGGAAGTCTGTGAGCCTGAGTATCCTGTAGCTTGTGCTTCTAACACATTTTACTTGAAACAAACAGGTAACTAATATTTTTAAAACTGTTGTTAGTCGCAAAGTCGTGCCCGACCCATCGTGACCCCATGGACAACATTCCTCCAGGCCTTCCTGTCCTCCACCATCCCCCGGAGTCCACTTAAGTTCACACCAACTGCTTCAGTGACTCCATCTAGCCACCACATTCTCTGCCGTCCCCTTCTTCTTTTGCCATCTATTGTTCCCAGCATTAGGCTCTTCTCCAGGGAGTCCTTCCTTCTCATTAGGTGACCAAAATATTTGAGTTTCATCTTCGCTATCTGGCCTTCTAAAGAGCAGTCAGGGTTGATCTCCTCTAGGACTGACTGGTTTGATCGCCTTGTGGTCCAAGGGACTCACAGGAGTCTCCTCCAGCACCACAATTCAAAGGCCTCAGTCTTTGGCACTTAGCCTTCCTTATGGTCCAGCTTTCACAGCCATACATTGCAACTGGGAAAACCATGGCCTTGACTGTACACACTTTTGTTGGCAGGGTGATGTCTCTGTTTTTTAGTATGCTGTCTAGATTTGCCATAGCTTTCCTCTCCAGGAGCAAACATCTTTTAGTTTCTTGGCTGCAGTCCCCATCTGTGGTGATCTTGGAGCCCAGGAAAATAAAATCTGTCGCTACCTCCATTTCTTCCCCATCTATTTGCCAGGAAGTGAGAAAACCGGATGTCACGATCTTAGTTTTCTTAATGTTGAGTTTCAAGCCAACTTTTTCATTCTCCTCCTTCACCCGCATCAAGATGCTCTTTAGTTCCTCTTCACTTTCTGCCATGAGAGTGGTATCATCTGCATATCTGAGGTTATTGATATTTCTCCCAGCAATCTGAATTCCAACTGGTGATTCATCCAGCCCCACCTTTCTCATGATGTGCTCTGCATATAAGTTAAATAGGCAGGGCGACAGTATACAGCCTTGCCAAACTCCTTTCTCAATTTTGGACCAATCAGTGGTTCCGTGTCCAGTTCTCACTGTTGCTTCTTGACCCGCGTATAGGTTTCTCAAGAGAAAATAAAATGGTCTGGTACTCCCGTCTCTTTAAGAACTTGCCACAATTTGTTGTGATCCACACAATCAAAGGCCTTAGCATAGTCAATGAAGCAGAAGTAGATGTTTTTCTGGAACTCCCTAGCTTTCTCCATGATCCAGCATATGTTGGCAATTTGCTCTCTAGTTCCTCTCCCTCTTCGAAATCCTGCCTGTACTTCTGGTAGTTCTTGGTCCACATACATTTTTAAAATAATTTGTACCAAACTAGCACCTGTTCTGTGATTTTGTTTGAAAGCTCAAACTTCCTACCCATGGGAAAATGAGACTCTTTATTACATTTCTTGTAGTAATACGTTAATACCGCCTCGTTTGTATTTTATGCCAGACTGATGATTTGCTGAGCGAGATCACACAGCTTAAAGAAGACCTAAAGAAGAAAGATGAAACAATCAAGCAACTGGAACATCGGCTTGTGAGTATATTATACTCCATAGAAAATGTGGTGTCTTCAAGAATAATGTAAATTAATATGTAGGGTAGGTTTGCACTTGTGTACAAAACAGTGGGGAGACAAAGATATATTGAGTTCAAAACAGCAGGAACTTTAATATGCCAAGGAATTCCATTCACTTGTGTTTGAAGATATCCTTCAGATTTAAGTGAATGCAAAAGCCTTTCATAGGAATTGCATATATAAATCACAACTCTCACAGGCACTCCTAAAATAAGACAGGATATTTTTCCATTGGTGATGTCCACCTGTTCTGAATGCATAAAGGTAATGTAGGTTAACTTTAGAATGCACAGTTCCCAAATAAGAAGAGTTGAAATAAATTTAGCTTTAGATCAGCTTTCCTTAACTTGGTTCCCTCCAAATGTTTTGGGCTGCAACTTGCATCATTGCTGCCTCAGACCACGCTCCCTGAGAAAATATCTGGAGGGGGCCTGTTGGGGAATGCTGCATTGACAATTTTTATTGCTATTTATTTATTTTATTAGATTTCTATCCCACTTTTTTTCTTACAACAAACTCAAAGCAGCTCACATGTTTTTCCTCTTGCTGCTCTCAATTTTATCCCTGCAACCATAATCCTGTGAGGTCAGCTGAGCTGAGAGTCTGTGACTGGCCCAAAGTCACCCAGCTGGCTCCATGCCTGAACAGGCACTAGAACCCAGATTGCCTGAGTGCCAGTCCTGTGCTCTTAACCACCACACATACTGGCTCTCACACAATGACTTCTTCAGTCATTCTACATTAAATAGAAGTACAGTTTGACTATATACTTGTAACATGTGATGGACCTTGAATTGAATAAGCTAACAACTCTAAAAAAGAGTTGACATTGTTTGTAGTTGTATAGGTTTAAAATAGAATTGCAAGGCATTTGGGGGAGGGGGGTTATTTTGAATGAAGATATTAGAACCGAAATGTGAAAGCAGATAAAGCAATTTGAGGAATGTTAGCATTCTTCATGGAATTTAGTGAGAACTGCAGAGAAATTTTAATGTACACTATCTCCATAAATGCAAGTCTAAGGTTTGGTCTGCGAAACTGGAAGTATTACAGACATTTTATACTGCTGCTCATGTACCATCTATATTTAAATAAGTACTTCTGATGTCTCTGGTATGAGACCTCGATACAGGACTACAAATGTATCTGTTATTTATTTTCACCCAACTCCTTGTCCTTTTTGTATGCATAAAAGTCTGTTAGATGTAACTGCAGCGAAGACAGCAAAAAACCTGAAGTGGACTCGTGCACGTATGCTGACAAATACACACAGACCTCTTGGAAGAAAAGTGCTGTGAGTAGTTGATACAAATTTTGTTCATTGTCTGATTGCTGCTTCTGCAGAGCCATTCACACAGTTCATCTTGCTGTAGTACTTAGATCTACATAATTTTAAAAAGATGCTTCACCATTTGCAGCGGTGTATGCACTATATTTAGTCTTGTGTATGCTTTCTGTCTTCTTTGCTTAGATTCTTTGATTGCTTAGATCATATCTTCAGTAGGAATTCCATTCCTTTCTGCTTTTTAAGTAGTCTCCTTTTTAGGAATGCTGTCAAAATCCAGGATGGAATTGTTCATATAACTGCCGGCATACCAGAATCCCAGAATTGTTTTGACTAATCTCTAGATTTACTGTAACTTTCAAATTTAGCACACCTATTTCAGTTTTTATGAGAACAGTGTGACAGCACTATCTTTGTAATAACTTTCTTTCTCTTACTTTCACTATTTCAAAATTTTCAGCTTCTGTCCTGGCTTTAGTTTCAAATTTTGTAATTGTAATTATTACCATATTGGAAACATTTTCAGAGTTGATGGCCCCTCATTGGACATTATTAGTCTTCAGCATTCATAATATACAGGGAGAATGGACACACACACACCAAAAAACAGAAACTGTCTTCCTAACAGAACACCAACAATGCTACTAGGCTTCGGCATAATGTTAAATGGTCAGCAGATGCTCAGAAAATAAATCCCAGCAGCTCAGTCTTGAGTTAAAAAAATGGGATTAATCTTTCAGCCAGTTGGAGGCATGTTTATGAAGAGAAGGCTTCCTTTATTTTGTCCATCTTATTTTGCATCTGTATGGTTTGTTGATTATCTTCTGTGTCATAAAGAGAACTTTTAAATTCAAATTCAGTGATATCCTTGACTATGTAGAACAGTTGACAGCCATTTCAACAATATCATGAGCTGTACAGACCACTGATTTTTAACGGGATTGTCTAACTGTGCAGCATGTTGTTCTTGAGTAGCCACTCTGCAGAATTCATGCCACAAGTCTTACACGTATTGGAGACTTGCAGTATGCCTGGAGAGGAAGTCCAGTGTGCCTGGATCTGACATAGTCAAGCATGTAGCCCTCTTTGTCTGTTCAGCAAGTTCAGTAGACCCAGGGGCAAAACTAGCCTTAGAAGTTTGTCCTAAGTAGCACTGTATTGTACTGTAGACTAGAGTAGTTCATTGTAGGCTAAGCTTCTGGAGAACTCTGAGAACCTGCCCTTTAGCAAGACTGTAACTCCTCCTGCACCACTTAGTGTAATTGTTGTTGCTGTCATCTGCATGGATTTCCCCCTCTCTGTGTATTTGTGGGCTAGGTTGTCTCTATTTATTTGGTGCGGAGAGTTCTGTGCTGGAAGCTACCTAACAATGCTGTATTTGATTTGGATAAATGTTTTCAGGCATGTAACTTTTAAAACTAGTAAATTAGGATCATAGGTTTTTCTGTATAACATGAAAAAATAAGTAATTTCTTAGCATTTCAGCTGCTAAGCATCTTATAGTCACATGTGTTCCTGTCTTTCTTAGAAAATAGATGGCACATTGCTATATGATGGCACAGTTATCTAGTCTTTGAAAACTCATATGATTAAAAAGCAAACATACAAACCCAGATTTTCTGTCCTTGATATTTTGACCTTAATCTACATTAGAATATTGTTCTGAAGGAAATCTAAATGAACCTAACCGGTTCATCACTATATTCTGAAATAGCCTGTAATTTTGTTCTCTCGTTTTCATTTGAAGTAGTGTATCAGTTCAAACATATTCATATAGACCTTATTAATCCAGCTTTTAAGACCCTTAAATCAAAGGTGTTTACAAGAAACTTTTCTTCTGCTTTATTGTCTCCTTGTGTTATTGTGAGGAAGACTCTTGTTCTGCAGCAGTAGAATGTATATTTTTTAAAAATCTGTTGCGTAATCAAGCACTAAAATATCTATATTACTTATGGTAGTAGAAAGTTACTCTTACTGCATTTGTATGCTGATTTACTTAATAGAAAAAATGGGTTGAAATCAAATAACAAAATAGTGGGTCAAATATTCTGTATGGATAGATAAGAAAATGAAAGAATATATAATCTGCTGCAGAGCTTCTTTTGGCAGCACCTGCAGGATTGGCACAATGACTTTTTATGCCCTACCATATTTACCTCCCCTTCCCTCTTTTTGCTAATTTTCTTCTGACACCCCCTCTGAGTAACAATAAGGTTGCACTGTTGCTTTAAGGACTTCTAGTTTAGAACTGTTAAACTGACTTAATTCTTCAACACCCCATTTAAAATATTTGTTTTAAGTAAGTGTTTTCAAACAAGGCAAACAATACCTGTACATAATAACATTAAGGCTGAAGTGAGGTGCTGGAACAAAAGAGAAAAGATCCCTCATGCTAGTGCTCTGGGTATCAAAACGAAGGTAACAATTGTTAAATGTTAATGTAAAAGATGTTACTTGCTATATCTTCTGTGACAATAGAAGATATAACAGGGTATTTGTAAAATATCTCAAATTCAATCCACATGCTAAAAATGAATGTGGTTAATATTCTGCATATAAGTTGAAAAAAGCAGTGAGGACCCTGTGTGAGCTTTGCATAGAAAAGAGGAGGCATGTTCACATTAATTTATTTTGAATGATTAGCTCCTTTACTGTACATAAAATATGTGGAGTATGAATTAGCATAGGTTAAAGGAAAACATTTGTTAAAAGTTTGTAATCCCATATGCTGCACTCTGGCATGAATGAATGAATGAATGGATATCTTATCCTTCCCCTTTGTGATGCCTTTCAGGTACTTGTAGAGTGCCTATCATATGACCCTTCGCTCTTCTCTTCTTGTGGCTGAACATGCCTAGTATTCTCAATCTTTCCTCATAGGGCTTTGCCTCCAGTCCCTAAATCATCATTCTTACCCTCCTTTGTACCCTTTCTAGCTTTTCTGCATCTTTTTAAAACTTAGCGTCCCAGAACTGGACACAGTACTGCAGGTGAGGTCTGACTAATACTGAGTACTAGTGCAACTAGTACTTCATGTGTTTTGGAAGTAGTACTTCTGGCAGTATTCCAGCTGAGCCATTCAAAATCTTAAAAGATGATGCAGTAAAAGTGCTACACTCAATATGCCAGCAAACTTGGAAAACTCAACAGTGGCCACAGGATTGGAAAAGGTCAGTTTACATTCTGATCGCAAAATAGGGCAATGCCAAAGAATGTTCAAACTACCGCAGCATTGCACTCATTTCACATGCTAGCAAAGTTATGCTCAAAATCCTACAAGCTAGGCTCCAGCAGTATGTGGACCGAGAACTACCAGAAGTACAGGCAGGATTTCGAAGAGGGAGAGAAACTAAAGGTCAGATTGCCAACATACGCTGGATCATGGAGAAAGCTAGGGAGTTCCACAAAAACATCTGCTTCTGCTTCATTGACTATGCTAAAGCCTTTGATTGTATGGATCACAACAAATTGTGGCAAGTTCTTAAAGAGACAGGAGTACCAGACCATCTAATTTTCTCTTGAGAAACCTATATGCGGGTCAAGAAGCAACAGTGAGAACTGGACACGGAACCACTGATTGGTCCAAAATTGAGAAAGGTGTTTGGCAAGGCTGTATACTGTCGCCCTGCCTATTTAACTTCTATGCAGAGCACCTCATGAGAAAGGTGGGGCTGGATGAATCACCAGTTGGAATTCAGATTGCTGGGAGAAATATCAACAACCTCAGATATGCAGATGATACCACTCTTATGGCAGAAAGTGAAGAGGAACTAAAGAGCCTCTTAATGCAGGTGAAGGAGGAGAGTGCAAAAGTTGACTTGAAACTCAACATTAAGAAAACTAAGATCATGGCATCCGGTCCTCTCTCTTCCTGGCAAATAGATGGGGAAGAAATGGAGGTAGTGACAGATTTTATTTTCCTGGACTCCAAGATCACTGCAGACGGAGACTGCAGCCAAGAAATGAAAAGACGCTTGCTCCTGGGGAGGAAAGCTACGGCAAATCCAGCATACTAAAAAGCAGAGACATCACCCTGCCAACAAAAGTGCATATAGTCAAGGCTATGGTTTTCCCAGTTGCAATGCATGGCTGTGAAAGCTGGACCATAAGGAAGGCTGAGTGCCAAAAAATTGAGGCCTTTGAATTGTGGTGCTGGAGAAGACTCCTGCGAGTCCCTTGGACCGCAAGGTGATCAAACAGGTCAGAGGAGATCAACCCTGACTGCTCTTTAGAAGGCCAGATCCTGAAGATGAAACTCAAATACTTTGGCCACCCAGTGAGAAGGAAGGACTCACTGGAGAAGAGCCTAATGCTGGGAACAACAGATGGCAAGAGAAGAAGGGAATGGCAGAGGATGAGGTGGCTGGATGGAGTCACTGCAGTAGTCGGCATGAGCTTAAGTGGACTCCGGGGGATGGTGGAGGACAGGAAGGCCTGGATGAATGTTGTCCATGGGGTCGCAGTGGGTCAGACACGACTACGTGACTAAGAGCAACAACAACACTTCTGATAATGCAGCTCAGAATAGCATTTGTCTTTTTTGCAGCTGCATCATATTGTTGACTCATGCTTAGCTCTATTATGTGTCTTAAATTTATTTATTTATTTATTTATTTAAAGTTTTTCTAAGCCTTCCCCTACAAATGTCTTGGGACAGCTTTCATTATATTTAATATCTTACTGTTATTCAGTTAGGGAGCAATTATATGACTTTTGGACAGGATCTGAGAAGCAATATGTTTTATATTCTCAGCTCTGAGATCAGTAACTGCACTTCAGTCTTTGAGTTGGAAATTGGAGCTCCACATCCACTCCTTTGCAGCCAGCATGGAAAGCACAACCCTGGCTATTCCCTGAAGTTGGTAGTATGACCTTGAAGAGTGTCGGAGGAGGAGGGAGTGTGGGGGGAGGAGACTGGCAGGTTATCCTGTTAGTAGGCAAAAAAGTCCATCTAGCAAAAATGCCGATCAGGAGGGCAGGCGGGTCACCTCCTTTCCTTCCCCACTCTG